TTGATTCAGGATTCATGAGATGAAGAAATGAACTTGCATGATAAAGCGGATGTGGGAGTTGCACAGTATATCAAGGAACATAAAGGTCAACGATGCTTTGTAGAGGATGCTACCCCACTTAACAAGAGTTTTGCTAAACTCTGAATATTCCATATGAATATCCTCATGTTGGTGTAGTCTTTAGGGCCTTCCTTTGGATCACAAAGATAGGGATGACAAACAAACAACACACCAAACAAGATAAGAATGCATCACAACATCGAAACTACACGTGCTTCTATAGCAATGGCGGTCATCTTAAGAAGTGGATTATGATGAAAGCCCATCGCAAATTTGAATAAGGTGAGATCAGAAAACTTTAGTAAACCAAAGAAATAAAAATCAAGGAGATAAGAAGCAATAGCTCAAAGGAAGCTATCAAGGAGAGAAGAAAATAGGACAAGGATAAGAAATAATGAATTCAACTAGTCAAGGAGATGAAAAAGTAGTTTTGTAGCAAATTTTAAGCCTTAGAACGACCAGTTTCTACTAGGCTTGCGTCCTACAATCAGCATTTCTCTAATACCACTTTGTAGCATCCGATTTTAAGAACAAAATCAGATACACACCATATGTGAGCCCAGAAAGTCAAATCTCATATATAGCTACAAATAAGGGTAATATCATAAGACAATGCTTATTACATAGCATATTTATATAAAGAAAACAACTTCAGAGTATAGACAGCGGAAAGACAACTCGATCTTCAGGTGAAGACTCCAATTCCATAGGGACAACTGACTGTTGATCATAAGCCTAATTCCTCCAAACTCTAGCAATCTAGTACCCATCCGGGATTTTTATCCAAATAATTGAAAAATAAAGCAAGCGTAAGTACATGTCGTACTCAACAAATATAACATGGGGTTCATGAGGCTCAAAAGGCTGACATTGGTTTAACTGCGATTAGCTTTTACTGAGTCATCTTTTAGCAATTGGGTGGCAACAAGTTTATTCACAAGCCCATATAAACACATGATCAAGTAAACATGAATAATGAATAGTATAAACAGTAATCATTAGTATCATCAGTGTTCATCATCTATTCCATAAATATTTGAAGGCCGCTCATGACCGTGAGCACGGCTGATATACTAGTTTTACACTCTGTAGAGGTTGTATACTTTCACTATGAGTCGTGATTTACCCTTTCACCCGAGGTGATCAGCCTCTTGACCCACTACCAAGGAAGGTCGGCAGGGTTCACTATGAAGCCTTTCCAAGGTTTGTCTAACAAGTTAGGGCCATTAGATTCACTCGACAAACAGATGTAGAGCCCCCCTTCCCGATAGCATAATGACGTGCAACCTATATACAAGGGGATAGAGGCCGCACTATACCTGATTCGGCAAGCCATTCTAACGCTAATAAAGGTAACCACTAACAAGCTAGAAAAGGTCCTCATACTGAGCTAAAGCTAGAGCCATATAGCCCTCACATCTATACGGTAAGTCTCGGATGTTCGCTTACAGATAAGTCCTTTAGGAGAGAAATCTAGAGCACCATAAAAACAGCCTAATGCTCTAGCCCCTTGTTCCATGCTGCTAAAAGCATCTTTTAGTGTTTATTGCATATACCATTAGTCAAGTTACAAGATCATGGCTTTAGTTGAGCACTAACATCATACTACCCAATGCAATACCCATAGGTATCAAGGCACAAGGTACAAAGTACTAGAGAATCCTTAGTGGTAGTCAAGGTAGACACATGCAGTATGAATTAAATGATTTAAGGTGTATAGAACAACAAGGAAGATCCCATGCCATACTTGCCTTAAAACTCAGATCTTCTTCTAGTCCAAATCTTGAAAGATCTGCTTCTTAATTCACCACGTATAGCTCACCAACTAGACATGTTCATAAAGCACCACATAAACATCCATGCAATCATACACGAAGCAAACAATAGAACTAAATCAGAACAGTACACCAAACATAATAAACAACAAGTAAAAATATTTTAAAGATGTTCTAGATGTCGCTACGAACACACAAACACGAAAAGCACGCTAATCGGAACTACGGTTGTAAAGAAACGACTACAAGGTTTTATAATATAAAAGAAAAGAGAGGACTATAAGCTTGATTTATGTTAATTAGGAAAAACTATGTGAGTAGCATTAATTTAGATTAAACAAATCATATTTATACTTAAAAACTGAGTTGAACCTAATCATATTTTATTTATAAATATTTTGATATTATTTATGTCAATTCAACTTTAACATGGAAATACAAACTGACATGTGAGAACATCTAATCAAATTTGATACGTGTGTTTAGACTAAACATATTATAACTTAGAAACATATTTATGTTAGCATCTAGTCATGTTAAAACTTATTTGCAAAAGAGCATTATATATAATTATGTTGCTTTTATTTATAAAACTAGTTGCATGTATATTAATCGAATTAATATTTAAGCATATATATAAAAGTCACTTGACATAAAAAACGACGACACTAGCATGTAGATCACATAGATACGAATCTACCCCAATTGGAACGACTCGAAACAGACTTAAAATAAATATACGACGACGATATTACGAACGGATGGTAATTTCGTAATTACCTCGTCTTCATCCTTTGGCCTCCCAGGGCGTAGGGTGGGCTTGACTTGTTGCACGAATTGAGGATGGCTGGGCTGAGCAGCGCGGCGGCGACGGCGACGGCGAGAGAAGGAGAAAAATCTAATTTACTACACGAGGAATTTCCCAAACTAGGGGCTCCCCTTACGGTAGTTTTCGTGTGCATTGCCTAAGTCATTGGTACATATTTATAGGGAGAAAAACTCCCCACATCTACATCAACTAGCAATATGGTACTAATTGATGTTGCACCCTCCACATTTACTAATGGGCCTAAATAATCATTAATAGGCCTTTAGGATTTATTAGAATTATTGCGCATGGACTTTGAGCGTCGGAAAAAATGAGAGATTTATTATTTTGAGAATTAATTAATTTCGTGGATAAAATAATTCCAAAAAAGTCTAGAATTATTATTTAAGCCGCGAAAAATACTCCGAAAGCTCTGAAAATTCGGAGAAAATTTCCAAAAACATTATGAACCATGAGGAACCCAAATAAAGTATTTGGAGCCCATGATAAGATAATTTGGAGCATCTAAAAATTAAATTTTGCTCACAGATAAGTAGGAACAAGTTTCAGAAAAAACTAAAAAATTCTCGAGAAGGTTGTAGAGATTGATTGATGGATAAGGAACTAAAAGGAGTGATTTGCGTTACAAAGAAAAGATTTTAGGAAGCTCCTAACAAAAACTTGAGCCAAGAAATAAAGAATTTAATTGTAGAAAAAGATAAAGGCGTGCTGGACAAGGAAAATCGACCTACTAACGCATTTTAAAGACTTTGATCACTCTCAACACACAAAGAAGCAACAAGCAAACATCACATCATCCAAACGGCCGTCAAAATTAGAAAACTTTGAAAATTCACTTTTTTCCTATAACAAAATTTACGCTAGGTCAAACTAAACTTGGTAAATTTTATCCAAATATTAAAATAATTCATTTTATTTAGTGTTTTCTATGCACAACCTAAAATCAGAAATTTTGGGGTGTGACACTTTTGCCCAAGGTGCCCTCGACACAATCGTCGAGCCCAAATGCCGGACCCTAAGCCTGCCACTACCGCCGCCGTCGTTGTCCTGCAATCCCACAGAAGACCCAACTAAGGGGAATCAACGCGCCGGCTACACATAGCAACCGCACAGCTGCGCCGGCTGTCACCCCTTCAGACTAGGCTTTGCATGGGACCAGACCTGACTCTGCCGTGCACGTAACACCGTTGCATGCCACGACCGTCGCCGACAGCCGAAGCCAGCACTGGCACCCGCCCCACCCTCCTCGGCGCCACCCCCTGCCCTAGGGGCGCAGGATCCGGTTGCCAAGGCACCGGTCTTGGCATCCCTGGACATTGCCACTGCCTCCACGCGCTTCCCAGGGCACCTTGCCCCATTGTGGATGCCGTCCCCTGCGGATCCGGTGTCGTTTCTGGTGCCCTGGGCCGGAGCCGCCGCCACCACCACCATGGGCATCAACCAGCACCCGCCCAGGCACGGCCTGAGAGGGCTCCCCACCTTAGGCCCTGCTAGATCCAGCCACAGGGCCGCCGGATCTACCGAAGGGGGACGCTAGATCGGCTGTGGGGTGCTGAAGGAACCCATCGCTGGCCGGCGCACCATGGCCGCCACCTACATGGAAAGTGAGAGGAGAAAGAGAATGGTACCGGTTCAATAGATTTAGGGGAAGCACCGGATCAAGAAACTATAGTTTTAGAAGTGATTGATGTGCACAAAACCATGGTTTAGAAAAAAAAGGGTCTACAGTAGAGTTTCTAAAACTTAAAATTGACTATAATTTTAGCAATATCATGGTATTCAAGACCATAAAATTTGTTGCATCCAAACATTTAATGGTACTCCAAAACTAAAATATTTCACAAAACCATCATATTCTTTGTAAAACTCCAAAAAAATACTTTCTATCTGTTCGTTTCTCACATTCACTGGTCCAAGCAGGGTAAGCAAGTAGCCGCTCTCGCACAACACCTTTGCTCAGCCAGCAACCAGCTCTGCTGTTGGACCTATATCAACGACGGACGACGAAATCTTTTGTCCTTTTCATTCTTTTCTTTTCTTCATGGAGCGCCTCATCTCTTGTGTGTTTAGACGTACGTGTTATTAGTCTCTGGACCACACCCTATATACGTACAAATACATAAGCTAAGCTACGTCCTTTCCTGTCTTTCTCTACACTCGTTAGGGTTGTAGATAGTATACACGTACTCCAGCATCCTGGGATTGGTGCAATGGTGCGGCACAGTATATTGATTGTTATCCAGAGACAGGCAAACAGCAGCAGCTATTCTTCAATTCGCTCATCACCTTCGTTCGGGGAGCCTGCAGCTTTGCCTGCCGTGCTGTCCCCGGCCGCCATGGATCCCAAGGGCGAGAGTGCGCGCGGCGAGGGCGAGGGCGACGACCTCGACCTCAACCTCTCCCTGCAGCCGACCTTAGCGCCCGAGCCGGAGCCGGAGCCGCCGGGTTACTTCTCCTGCACCTACTGCGACAAGAAATTTTACTCCTCGCAGGCACTCGGCGGCCACCAGAACGCCCACAAGTTCGAGCGCAGCGTGGCCAAGCGCGCCCGCGAGCTGGCTGCCGCTCGCCGCGCGGGCCAGGGCGGCGAGCGCGCCAGTGCGGCCGAGGAGGAGGCGAGGATGGGGAAGGAAATGGGCATTGCGAGGTCGGTCTCGGCACCAAGCTCCTCGTCATCGCACCAGATCAGGGCGTCCCCGGAGGCAAGCAGGAATAATCTCACCGACGACATCGACCTCTCCTTGAAGCTATGATTGGCTGCGCGCGGCCGCTCATCCGACTTGTGGTTCTTGTCGCTGGGACACACACGAGCAATCACAGGCTGGATCCCTCCTTTGAGTTCTTGTTATATTTTCGTGTGCTGATTAAGCCTCTGTGTTGATTAATTTCCTGGACCGTGCATCGACTGATGAAAGCAGGTTCTTGGTGATTTCCCTTGATCCCACCTTCACCCAGTACCCCCATCTGTTGCCATGTCCTTCATCTTCACTGTTTTCCCCCCCTTCTGTTTTAACATTTCACTGGGATATATGACATGATTTACCTGGTGTTACTTTTCATGTAAAGAATAGAAATGGAAACATGAACAAGATGAGGACTAGGCAGCAGACCTATACACACATTACAAGTCAGTAGGGACTAGGCAGAGCAGTAGAGTGTATGCAGTACAGTATGCAGTACAGTATGCAGGGAGCTGTTAATCCTCGGTAACAGGGTGTTTGGTTCCTCCATTTAAACTTTAGTCGCTGTTATGGTCTATTAAATATAGACTAATTACAAAACTAATTACACAGTTTGCGACTAATTTGCAAGACAAATATTTTAAGCCTAATTAGTCCATGATTTGATAATCTTGTGCTAGAGTAAACATGTGCTAATGATGGATTAATTAGGCTTAATAAATTCTTCTCGTGGAGTACTGAACGGATTCTGTAATTTGTTTTTTTATTGATATCCGAACACTTCATACGATACCCTCACGTGACACCTTCTAAATTTTAGTCACCGGATCAAACATCCTCTAATTCTTACATTGCACATGACGCATCCAATCGAGAAGTCTATGGACTGTGGATGTATTAGGCACCATTTAGATCCAAATTTTTTTGGATTTTGGCTACTGTAGCATTTTTGTTTGTATTTGACAATTAGTGTCTAATTATGGACTAATTAGGTTCAAAAGTTTCGTCTCACGATTTCTCACTCAACTATGTAATTAGTTTTTTTTTTCGTCTATATTCAGTACTCTATATATGTGCCGCAAGATTCGATGCGACGGATACTCTGCAAATTTTTTTTGGAATCTAAACGAGACCTTAGTATCGGTGTAGGTGTGTGGTCCAGTAGGCCTTAGCTCTAGCCAGGCAGCCCAGGCTCATCTCTTTGTCGCTGCCAAGTGCCAATGCTTTGCGCATAAAAGCACGTGACTTATTACCTGCCTTTGTCATTGTCCAAGTAGTGATATCAACCGAATAACCATAAGAATTTGACGGGACCGGGCAGCAGCGACAGGTGGGTGTGCCGCTTTGTGGAGGAAAATATAAGAAGGAACTCGATCAAGATGTGAATAGGCTAATTCTCCTTGACTTGAGAAAAGAAAAAGAATCCATTGGTTATTTTCTTGTGAATCTGTGGCGTCGTTGGCCTTGAAACTTCAAACTATATATCGTAGACTTCAGTGTCACTGTTACCCCTTTCCGGACAATGGTTTCGGTAAAATTGCAATATCTCAAAGAGGTCCATGCATATTGCTGTCTGCAACAGTATTGTGTAATGGCTCTATCACCCTTCCTTTTCTTTTCTTTTTGGATATATAGGAGCCACACAGTTTCAAGAATATATGGAGTATATGTATATATATGGTCAGAATCTGCTATTTTATTTCCAGCAATTAGTGAACGATGATAGCTAGCGACCCTCCTTTATTTTTCTTGCTTATAAAAAATACACAAGAAATCAAAATCAGATTACTTAGTTTCTTATCTATAGGCATATATGCCCTTTTTCTATAGATAAAACATCAAGAATTGGAACTATATGATCGTTGTTTCTTAAATTCTTCTAGGAGTTTTAAGTTTCCATTGGAATTGAACTTTAGTGTTTGATCGAGGAACTTATCCATTTTTATAGTATCTAGATCCATTTTTATAGTATCTAGATCTATATACTAACTATTAAAAAACTATTACATGAAGTGGAAAATAAATAACCATGCTTAGTGTATTAGCTTTGTGGTAATTGATTAATATACACAATATCTCATGGGCCAGAACGTCTCTTTCTAGAGGAAAAACGATTAACAAGCTTGGTTGACAACCATGATATATAATTTAATGATATGGGAGGTTTTGGTCCATGGGATGAAGAAATAGCTATTGCTTTAGGATCCATTACATCTCCAAGTCTTTCTTTTTTCAAACCATATGTGGGTGTACAATTTGTGGCGGAATTACTGAACCAATACTTTTTTATAACTGTGAATTCAGGATTTGCAAATCTTGTTGTTCATGTGAAATTATGATAACTAAAGTACATCAAATATACATGGAATTGAAACAACATGATAAATATCTCTATATCAATGTATTTTCATTTGACAGAGTACAACACTCTTGTATATGCTAAAGTTGTGAAAGATCACACGATGAATTATAGGAAACAATGTCTACTATATATAGTAGCCATATACACAATATGATTATTGTGAACATTTTCATCTTTCAATATAATTTTCAAAATGATAGATATAGTTCAACATTAGCCTTAATTCATTGTTTCCAAAGGATTTTTAGGTCATTCAAACCAGATTTCTATTTACTAGCATACACTTCAAGTGGAGTCATATTCTTGTTTTATACCTTATATATATACGTTAAAATGAAATGTGACATAATGGAACAAATATTAATTTTCAAGGATGGAGATTTCTATGCGGATTTAAAGGCATGGATGAAACATTTAGAGATTGCGCCACTTTGAAATTTGTTTATTTTCATATTGTAAGAGATCACAGACTATGAAATTTGAAACCTTATGTAGTTTCTTATACTTGTATTGTTTTATTTTCTAATTAATTTGTTTTTCAACTAATTCAATTGTTCTGCAATATGTACCTACTGTACCGAAACTGACTTACCCAAGTAATATTTAGTAAATTACATAGTTCCACATACAAAGTTTAGGACATAGATAAATTAGAAAAAGTACAAACTTTGGAGATCCAATATTTAAAATATGAATAGACCCCTAGCTAATAACACTAGCGTAAAGATAGTACTTTTTTTTGAAAGATTGAAACTACTACATTCAAATATGCTTTGTGCGTGGGAAATCATATTCTATTTTGTTTGGCATAAATATTCCAATAATATTTTTTTGACTTGATCGACTATGTAAATAATCAATTATAAAAAGTCCATTCAATAAAAGTTCTCCCTTTGTAGGGAGAGCACATAAATTAGTGCAAAGTTTAGTGACCTAGATTTTGTTTTCGTCTATGGCAAACTATCTTGACTTCGAGCAGCAAAATATCTATGAAAAGTCAAACAAACCGTGTGGTGAGCATATAAATAGATGAATACTAGAAATGTAATGATGTAAACTAGGAGAATATATCAAGGTCAGTGTAATTTGTGACAACAGATAAATATGTAATTTGCTGCTATTTTGTGCAACTTACGTACTCGTACCTACTACACCAGTTCTCCTTTCGGCCACAAGCTACGAAGGCCCTTGTTTCTCAATATTACTCAAAGGTCGCTGTTCTTATGTAAAATCGCGTGTGGAAGGGGTTGGGTGCAGACGGAGCTTTAGTTTGGACCCATATTTGGCCCATGGGCCTCGCTCAATATTGTTACTCTTTCGGACAAAGCTAGGTCTAATAATTGTGTGTTCGCCCAACGCATTAGAGCTGTCATGTGCATACGTGTAAGTGTGTAACGTTACACATGGTGGTTATATATTATTGTATTAGTCTGTCTTAAGTCGAATACTCCCTCTCTCCCAAATTTTATGCCGCTTTTGGTTTCCGTGCTGCAAGTTTGACTCGATTTGTAGAAAATACATGCAATATTTGTGTAACACCCTAAAATTTGATTTTCTTGAAATAGAGCCAAAATAATTTAATTTTGTATTTTTATGCTCATGAAAATAAGGGGAAATAATAAATTTTCATTAGATTAAAATTTATCTTAAGGTAGAAACGTGTTTGTTGCATTCATGCCGGTCCCACCTTGTGTTTCTATGTGCAAAATGTGTTTTTTCTTAAAATACGTTTAGGAGACGAATATCTATCTTTAGGAAAATTTCAGCTTCTTTTTGGAATTTAATTCCAACCTCCTTCACCTTAATCTTTATGTTCCAAGTTCCCAACAATCTTTTCATGAGCTCCAAATACTTTATTTGGGTTCATCATATTTCAAAGTGTCTCTGGGAATTTTTTCTAATTTTTCAGAGGTCTCAGAGTATTTTTCGTGGCTTAAATATCAATTCTAAACTTTTCTAGAATTATTTTATTCATGAAATTAATTAATTCCAAAAATAAATACTATATCTCATTTTCCAACCAACTCTCAAAGCCTATGTGCAATAATCCTAATAAATCTCAAAGGCCCATGCATTTATTTACTAATGGGCTTTAATGATTATTTAGGTCCATTAGTAAATGTGGAGGGTGCAACATTAATTAGTACCATATTACTAGTTGATGTATATGTGGAAAGTTTTTCTCCCTATAAATATGTACCAACCCTTTGGGCAAAGCACACCAAAACTACCATAAGGGGAGCCCCTAGATTGGGAAATCCCTCGTGTAGTAAATTAGATTTTTCTCCTCCTTCTCTCGCCGTCGTCGCCGCCGCGCTGCCCGACACCGTAGACCCGCCATCGACTGCAAGAAGGCTCTAGGTGAGTTCGCTGTCTTCTCTCTTATTCCCTATGCTCTCGGCTCGTCAAACCGTGGCCTCTAGGACCCAAACCAAGCGCTCTAGGGAGCTTCTCGCTACCGATAATGGAGCTCCGCCACGTCGATTTTCTTCTCCGGCCGGTGACTCTCTCTCCCCCTCCTTTCTAATCTGGACCATCCAAATTCAATCCAACGGTCCAAGATCGTCCGTACCCCTTCACAGGGTTTATTTGCAAAAGAGCCCCTACAGTTTCGCGTAATATAACCCGCAGTCCATGGCGCACTTCCAGAATATGTTTTCCTATTCCAAAAGCGTAGTTTCTTTATAGCAGATTCAGAATACGTTTTCTC